GAGCTAAGGCAAATGGGATTAACAGCTAACCCCAAGAAGTGTGCACTAGGCAAGAAAGAGACTAAATATCTGGGTTTCGTAGTGGGGCAAGGCCAGGTGAGACCCCTAGCGGATAAAGTGGCTGCCATTAGGGAATACACAGCCCCAACAACTAAGAAACATATGTGGGCCTTCCTGGGGCTGGCCAGCTATTATAGGCGGTTTATCCCCAAGTTCGCAGAAATAGCCAGCCCCTTGGTGGAGACAACGAAAGGCAGAAGAGCTGGAAACATCGAGTGGAGCGAGGAGCGGCAAAGGGCTTTTGAAGAACTCAAAAGAGCCCTATGCCAGCAGGTAGTTCTACATACCCCCAATTTCGCCCTTCCGTTTACATTGCAGACAGATGCCTCAGCCTACGCCCTTGGAGCAGTCCTGTCGCAGGAGGCAGACGGACTAGAACGGCTGGTAGTGTACGCTAGCTGGAAACTCAACGATCATGAAAAGAGGTACTCTACCATCGAAAGGGAATGCTCAGCTATCCGATGGGAGGTTGATTATTTTAGATACTACCTCTTAGGGTGCGAGTTCAAGCTAATCACCGATCACGACCCTTTGAGATGGCTAAACACCGCTTCGACTGATAACGCCCACATCATGCGATGGGCACTAGCTCTCCAACCTTTCCGTTTTTGGGTGGCGTACAAACCGGGAAAAACAAATACGGTGGCAGATTTTTTATCGCGGTGTGATGAAGAGGGTCCCGAAGCACAGGGCGGAGCTTCGGAGGGCCGAAGGCAGACAAGAGGAACGCTTAGTAGCGTCTTGAGGGGCAGGATATGCGAGGGAGCGAAGAGGCGCACGGGCTCCGAGGCTTCCCACCCCGGCGCAATAGCGCTAAGCTCCCTCACTCAAGCCCGGAATGTGGGGCAACAACTCACCTTTTTCAGGTGCGAGGAAGGAGGTGTGGCCCGGACAGCGGGGGCCAACATAAGTGAGACACTGACGCCAGGAGGGAGGAAGGTGGAACCGGAAGTGAGCCGGGAGGCAGCCAGGAACCAAAGAAGTACCTGCAGGCAGAGGGTTACTGCCCGGAGATGCTACCGAACCTGGTGGGGTAAGGGTAAGCCCCAACAGGGCTGGGGAGCTGGGTCGACAGGCCCCAGCAAAGCCCCGTACGTTTGAACGCTGCAGGGCACGGCTGGACCCGGCAGGAGCTGGGAGCCGTATATACTGTAGTATAGGGGCACTTTATGGAGATGAAGAGGCTGGCCGGTCCTTTGGAGGACTAAGAGGCTTTTGGAAGCCCGGGAGAGGGCTGAAGAGCCCAGAGAGACGGCTGTAGAGAAGAGTGCTGGTGCACACAGCAGTTAGGGTAATAACAAGGGGGCCAAAAGGGCAAAGCAGCCCCTTGCTCTAGAGAATCCCTGGCTGTGACATTTTGTGTTGACCGGACAGTTTTTTGTGGACATTGAACGACAGACAGATGGGGAACTTACCCTGATCAGCAACCTGGCCGGTGGTACGGGAAAGGGTGTAGGGGTGGCGGAGCCCTCATCGACGCGGGACCCTGAGAGTCCAGGAGTCTCACTTTTGGACTGACGCGTTTCGGATTAATATCACTGAACCAGAATACAATCAAAGTCGTGGCAGGAGGACCGGACGCGTGCAGACCTCAGGTGATTGACTCTAAGCGACAGGAAGCCCGTTCTGACACGGGAGGAGGTGGGTACTGCGAAGGACACGCCCCCCCCCCCACACTGAGTACAAAGGAAGCTGGAATTGGTTGCAATCTAGTTCCTACCCTTCTCCCTCAACAATGTAGTTATGTGCTGCCTGTGGTTGGGCTGGATTGTAAAGTAGGTGCAAATCATGTCCCAAGGCCTTACTCAGATACATTTCCTCTGAGACCAGAGTAAAACTGGAGTAAGAACCTCAGGATTTGACCTGAAATAATGTATTTTATTACATGCAATAGGTTATTAAATTGCAAAGGCAAGAACACAAAAATTAGGAAATGACATAATGAAAGTTGCCTGCTCAGTCTGAATTCATTTTCTTCAAGGATCATAGGAAAGTAAGGCTGGAATGGACCTCACAAGGTTGTCTAGTCCACTCTCCTTCTCAGGGCAGGATCATCCCTGACTACTACTTCTTTTTCTCATGTTTCTACACCACATTTGACCATCATGTTACACATGTTTGTGCTCGTTTATTGTACTTTGCAAGGCCTTTCATTGTACATGTCCCTTCAAGCAGCAGGCATTGCAGCAGATGTTGCATAGTCTGAGGTTCTGTGCCACAGTTACATGGTTGGACAAATGGTATATCCCCACTTCTTCATTAGTTCCTTGAAGTGTCCAGCTCTGGTATGTAGGTGGTTGAGACATTGCCACCTTTGCCATGGTTCATTAGCCCCACATGGTAAGGACTCAACTGTGGGCTCGTCCATTTTTCTACTGTCATATATTTTCTTCAGCCTCTTGTTCCACATCTGCAGTTGTGTCTCCCTGGGTGTGGCATCAAAGGCTGCGTGCTGGTGAGGAAGTTCCTGCACGACTCCAAACATTTCTGTGCTGTGGGATGGTCATACTGTGGGTGTCAGACATCTTCAGTTTGTCTTGATCATTCAGTCCTACTGGCCACTTCTCTTCTGATGTCAGGCAGAGTGATCCCAGCCAGCAGGTACACACTGTTTAGGCTGTGATGCATTGGCAGTTAGTGTTCAGAATGGGATCAAAGCACTTAGTGTGTAAGGATCTTTCCCATACAGGGCACACATACTTGACAGAGGAGAAGCTGGGAGCCAGAGCAGTGGTTCAGATGGCTAAAGGGCTAACTCCCCATTTTGAGTTCGCAAGCTTATATAGAACGTTCCACATGTTCACCTTTGCTTTTGTCTTCATGATGTGTTCTCTGTATGAGAAGACAGGGTTCAGTCTAGGGTGATTCCAGGGTAAACTGGATTTGGACAGTGGGATAGTAGCTTCCTGGACCATGTAATGTTGAGCTAGAGGTTAGCCTCATGGTTTTTCAGATGGAAGGCACATATCTATGTTTTCATTGGATTGGCACATAATTGGTTTTCAATGTAGTGTGAGGTTAGGTCAATTAGTGCCTCACTTAAGAATTTTTCAACGTGGCCAAAGCCAGTGTTTTGGGCTCTTGTGCACACGTTGTCTACATAGATTAAATGTTTTGTTTCCAAATCGATTGATTGGTCATTTGTATAGATGCAATATAACAGTGGTGCAAGTATGCTCCCTTCCGTTAATCTGTTGCCTCCATCTGCTTCACTTCTCATCCAGTGTGACAAAAAAACTCTGTATTTGAGCAGGGTTTGTATTGACTCTTTAAGGTTTGGATCTTTTTTCAGTTTCAGGATTTTGTGGAGGAGTTGATGGTGGTTAACTGTATTGTAGGCAGCTGCTAGGTCGATGAACACAGCTCTGGTGATTTTGGGCTCTTTCAAAACCATACTCAATTCGTTGAGTTAAATCAAGCAGCTGGCTCATTGTTGATTTTCCAGGATAAAGTAACCCTGTTAGGGGATTAAGTGTTTATCCACATACAGGGCAAGCCAGTTCAGTTGTATGTACAATTTGTACGTGTGGCAAAGCAAAGAGATGTCTGAAGCTCTTTGGCTCAGATGGATCTTTTCCTGGCTTTAGAAGTGGTACTACCTGAGCATGTTACCATATCTTTAAAAATTTTTGACTGGCTCTGCTGCATGAGTTATATTGGCAAAGGAGCCATTCTTGAGCCTGGGGTCCAAACTGCTTTATTTGTTCAGGAAGAATGAATGTTTATATATGTGCTCCAGGAGTGGGAAGGGGGGTGCTTTAATTAGAGTAGCTCTGAGAGCATGGAGCATCATGTGTACCAGCACCCCTGTGTTGAAAAATGTTGGTGGGGTACTTTAACTAAAGCTTGTCAAATGAGCTTTAGTTAAAGTGCCCCTGCCACCATTTTTCAGTGTGGGGATGCTGATACATGTGACACAGGAGTCTGCTGGAGTCTAGTAAATTACTATGCTCCAGCAGACTTGATTAATTAAGTCTGCTCTGATGCACTGTAATTACAGAGCATCAGAGCAGGCTTGCCACATGTGTATAGGCACCCTATGTCATCAACGCCAGTTGCTTTTCCAGTCTTTAGTACATTAACACCAGCATTCAGCTCTGTCATTAAGAAGGGGCTTGTAAAACCTAGGTTTTTGGATTATTTGTACCTTTCCCGTATGAGTTTTTGTTCGTTTTTGGTGTTTGGGCTTTTTACAGTGAGATGTATCTAGTGAGAAATTTGGTTAGCAGTGACATTATGATGTTTGTAGGGGGTGAGAGATAGTGCCTTTTGGAGGGTGAGGTATTAGCCATTGGCCCTGCTCTCCATTCCCATCACCTTGGGTTTTCCTGCCACACTTTGGTCTTAAGTGATAGACTGGAGTGAACAGGAATGTACCTGGTCCACAAGGTAATCCACCATGTGAGTTAGGGGCAGTGCTGCCAGATCTCTTCAGAGGGCTTCTCCTCCCCTACACTCCACCCATACCTCTCCCAAAGAGGTGTTTTGCAGCAAATGTTGACAGCTTTCCTTCCATATTAGTCTCTCTGGTTCCCTCTTCCTACTGGTGTTCTCCCTTTAGGAATGCCGGACTCCATTCGCAAGTGTTGCCCCTTTAAGGTTCTGAAATCCAAAACAATAAACAAAACCTGGGCTTGCCTTGCCCTTTAATGAGTGTAGTAATCCTTTTAGAAGCCTGAGGGGTCCTGCTGCTGTGGGCCTTCTCCTCCTCCTGCTTCTTCCCATGCCTTACTTTCTAGCTCAGGTTACTCCCCTCCTGGTCCCTTGGATGCTGTCCAGCTGCCTGGTTAGGGTCAGTCTGGCCATTTATGTTCTTTGGCTAAGCTGCTTGCTGTCCACATCTCCTGACTGGTGAGGGAGGGGGTATCCAGCATGACTCCACTTCCCTGCAGCTCCTCCAGTGCTTCCCCTTATGTGCTGTCCCCAGCTGCTTCAAATATGTTGTGCACGGGTCCATCAACCAATCTGGGAGCTCCGCCTGTCTCCCGTGACTGCCTAGGAGCTGTGGCATGCTGTGTTTTCCCTAGTTGTTCCCTGTTCCCAGCTTGACCTAGCTGTCTTCCCAGTCTACAACCTAGGAAGTGCATGCAGGCAGCAAGGGAGTGCTTTTTGGTAGGGGTGTGCGAAGTGGGCCCTATTCAATTCGGACTTGGATTCATCCTGAATCATGGACAGCAATTCTGTTCATTGATTTGGATCACTGTCCCCAATTCAATTTAGCCGAATCTGAAGATTCAATGCTGATTCCGAGAATCAGCAATTCAGACATAGACACAGCTTTAAGGCACCAGTTGCCAAGCTGGGGGCTGCGGGGGCCCCCAGCACACTCCCCAGTGGCCCCAGAAGTGAACCAGAAGTGATTTCTGGGTCTGCTGCCAAGCATGCTGGGGAGCTCCCGCGCTTCTGTGGGACACTCCATGCGCCCCAACATCACAGCATTCACGAGCCGCCTGGTACCTAGAAATATGTAGAAAAAACATTTAAAGCTGTATCTATGTCTGAATCTCCAAATCTCTCTAAATTGATTCAGAGGGTTCTGATTCGATTTGGAGAGATTAAAGCATCCTCTGATTTGATTTGTTTTCAGAGATTTGGCCACCAAATTAGGCCGAATCTCCACTGAATTGTACTGAACAGTACTGAAGCTTCACACAGCCCTACTTTCTGGCCTCTGGGTTGCCCAGTAAGTGTCCCATTCTCGAGCTCCTGTTACAACGTTGATCTACCTTTTGTAGGTTGTCACGTAATTTATGCATTGTTGCTCATGCTTTTTAGTATTATGCATATCAGTTAATTCAATCAGGGTCTGCCAGGATTTCCTGTGTTCTTCTGTGATGGCTAATATGAGCTCCTCCCCTGTAGTGATGGTGTTTGCAGAAAAAGGGTCTAGTTCATACCGTTGCCTGTAGTCTTTGTATAAGTCAGTAGTTTGCAAAGTGAGGCCTAGGATGTAATTCATGTGACAGCCCCCCATACTAAATCATTCCAGCCACATGTCTGTCTAACCTGCTCTTGAAAGCTTTCAAAGAAGATTCCACGACTTCCGTAGGCAGCCTGTTGCTTGACTACCCTCGTAGTCAGAAAGTTAGTACTGACTCCAACCCAAATTTCTTCTATTGCAGCTTGTGTTTATTATTCATCATCCTGCCCCCTACAGCCACATGGAAAAGCCCACCTCCATCCTTTCTATAATGGTTCTTCAGGTATTTGAAAAATGATATCAAATCCTACCCCCACCTCCAGTGTTCTCTTCTCGAGACTAAATAACCCTGGCTCTTTCAGACTTTCCTCATAAGTCTTGCTTCCCATGCCCCTAATATTTTTGTCACTCTTCACCGGATTCTCTCCAAACGGTCCACATCCTTCTTGAAGTGTGGGGCCCAAAAACTGGACACAGTACTCCAGGTGAGGCCTTACCAGCATTGAACAGAGTTAAAAAATCACTGCCCTTGATTTGCTAGTGACAGTCCTTTTAATACAACCCATCATGCAGTTGGCTTTGCCTGTGCACTGAACAAAATGGGAGCCCTGTAGATAAAATAATACGTAACCACATAATTAAGGAGCATATGATAATTCACATCCACAAGGGGGCTGAATTGTGGTATCACCGGCAACCTTCAGTCTGGCATTTCCTGACTTTTCAATGCTTATCTTTGCAACCTAAAAAATATTTGTTTTTTCACAGAGGTAGGTTTTTTTTAATGTAATAGCCAAGTTTGTTTTAAGGAAAGTAAAACCAAATTTTATTAAGCATGATTGTAACTCCTAGTTACACATCATCAGGGTCCAAACACTCCATTTTCATCATTGCACTGGAGATTTGTGCTTGTCAGGAAAATATAATTATTAGCCACTCAGTGCAATTTGGCTCTCCTCCAGGTGGGGATGGGTAATGGAGAGGTAGGCTGCTGGGACCGTGTGTTCCGTGAAGGCAGTAGTTGCAGAATAACACTTGATTTCTTTCTTTTCTGTTTTAGAGTTGGGGGAAACTACCATCTCATTTGGTCCTTCCACCAGAAGGGGAGGGACCACCAGAGCCATGCGCTTGGTCCAGGGCATCGTTAGAGGAATCCAAACTTGTTTTCCTCTCCCAAGCATACTGTTACAGCTTGGCTGGCAACTCCCAGCCATTTCCAATTCATTGTCAACTGCTGCATCTGCTTTGGTAGTTACATGAATCCCATGCTTTGCAATATTTTTGCATTCAATTATTATTTTGGCATGCTGCCAACATTTTCTCAAACTACTCAGTCAACAGATGGGGTGAGTGATTTCTAACCATGTACACCTGTATATGGAATTTCATGGAGTTTCATAGAACAAAGTAAAATAATCTCTCTTCCCTAATCCCCCCTGCAAATTTCAAAGGCTTGAGACAATCAAGGAAAGGGACTGAACTTCTCAAAAGAGTTTGTAAGAATCTAGTGTAATGTAAAGAGAGTCTTCCTACTTCCATACGAGCTGGCAGCAGAAACTGGCCCAGCTAGATAAATATCAAAAAGCATAAATAGCTTGACTTCTTAGTTTTAAAAAATAAAATTATATACATATACATACATATATATATACGCACGCACACACAGAGATGCAAAATTAAACTCTTCTTTGTTAAAAAATTCTTCTCTCAAAAAGCTGCTTCTAGTCAGTCTTTCCTTTTGTACCAGAACAGTGCATATGTCAAGATGCAGGGAGCCTCTGGGTTTTTTTGTGTCACTCTATAGCCTGTAGATATAGTTCATGGGAGTTGGCTGTTTATCAGGAAGCTATTAGTATTTTTACATTGCATCACCCCAGACTAAACCACCAGTGTCAAAACTTGCTTCAGGCCCATTGGGATGGTTTTGGCTTTGCTCTAGCCCTAAAATACGCAGGGGTAATATGTCTTAAAGTAATAGGTAATACCCTTTTTAAGGCACACGTCTGCTGGTGTAATTATTAGTT